GGCTCAGCGCTGAGCTGCAGCAGGGCTGCCATCATCAACATGTCCAGCTCTGCGGGCTCCATTGAGGAACTCTTCGTGTGGGATTATGGACAAGTCATCTCCTACCGCTGCAGCAAGGTACTGCCACACTGTGCTGGGCGTGAGCCCAGACATTTTCCTCCCCGAATGATCTCGTATGCCTTTCGACCTTGCCCTCAGTCCTGGCACCTCCCTGCGCTGTGACGGAGCTCCTGTCAGTCACTGGGTCCCTGTCATGGCACATTCCTGTGCCTGGTCCTGGGTCCCACCTCAGAGGGACGTGCCAGGACGGGCCCTCAGCTGGGCTGGGATCTGCATGGGCGCAGTGTGGCATCACTGCGTGCCCCAGTGAGTGGCTCCCCCCTCCCTCCCCCCCCCCATCCCCCTTCCCTCCCCTGCCCCAGCCCTGGGGTCTGGACATGTCCCCTCCCGCCACCATCCCCTCCCTGTGTCCCCGCAGGCTGCTCTGAACATGCTGACCAAGTGCCAGTCCCTGCGGTACCGGGAGCACGGCATCCTCTGCGCTGCTCTCCACCCTGGCTGGGTGCAGACTGCCATGGGGGGCCCACAGTCACAAATGGTAAGAGAGCTTTTGGCCAAGGTCTGGAAGAACCTCTTTGTTTGGGAATGCAGAGCTTCCTGGGGGTTAACAGTCCAAGAGATGCTGGGATCTTGGGGAGCCCCTTGGCAGATTCCCTGGGCTGGAGCACATGAGGGAAGGAGATGATGGATGAGGAAGAACTGTTCTTGCCCCGCACTGGCCTCTACTCACTCATGGCAGAGGCGTCAAGCCCTGAGCAATGATCTGCTCCATGGCAGAACCCAGCTGGACCTTGGACACACGACTGTTTTTCTCCCTCTGCCTCTGCAGACAGTGGATGAGAGTGTGCGAGGGATGCTGAAGGTGCTCTCCTCCCTCTCGGAGAAGGAGACTGGGACTTTCCTGAACTGGGAAGGGAAAGTGGTGCCGTGGTGAGACGCCAGCCGAGGATCAGGACAGCGGGTCCCTTTGCTGCTGCACCAGGCTGTGCTGTGTCTTAATAAATCTGTGTAAACAATAAGTAGCTCTGTTTGAGCCTTTCTCTTGGTCTCCTTTTAAGTAACATTGTGAGAGTGTTCACTAATGCTTTGAGAGAACTTCTCAGAGTTATTTCTGCATATAGTTGAGCTCGACTGGTCTGAATGTCTGATATTCGGGTGGGGACCTTGCTGTCATCCTGGTAGGGCTTTGTCCCTGGGCACAGAGAGGCTCATTCCGCAGCTCTGCCTCTGAATGGCAGCACAACCGTCTGATGCAGTGAACCCTTCTTGGTGTGTAAGGACGAGGTCCAGCAGAGCTCTGCTTCTCCTTAGCTCCCCTATCCCATACGTCAGGGAGCCATCGACAATGCTCTCTGGGAACCTCCTGGGTTGTGTATTCCCTGCTTCATTGTCCCTCCAGCAGATATCAGGGTGGTTAAAATCCCTTATGAAGACCAGGACCTGCAAACATGAGGCTGGTTCTGTCCGTAGAGGTCCTCCTGCACACAGCCTGCTTTACCCAGGGTGCTGTGGCATGGTCTATGTTACAAGCTGCTCCTTCATTTCAGGAAGCTCTGCCTTGAACTGCCAAGGTTGGAGGGGTCTGCCTCTCCCACAGGTCCTGTGCACTTGAATGTGGGGAGAAAAATTACCTGGACATGACTTTTAAAAGGCTGCTAAACTCTACCAAAGACCTCCTGGAAACCGAGACCTCTTTGAGATGATGGAGTCGAGGGAATTGGATTGTTTTATCAGGTACTGGAGCTCGTCCACCTGTCATTGGTGTTAAATAGCCACAAAGACGCTTTCTGAAGAGTCTTCCCCTTGTATGGTTTCAGAGAGTCCTTCTACTGAAGTTCTCCTTTCTTGAGGAAGGTGGTCTCAGTCTCCATCCAACTATCTGGCCCAGAGAAAGGAAAGGGGCAGAAAGGCAAAGGAAGGTCACCTAGCAGGTGAGCCCCATGGAGAAAAGCATGAAGGTGACCCCGTGCTCTTGGATTTCTTGAACGAGTTGTTCCCTTTTTACACAGTCGATATCGACTGTGGAGGATTGTCAAGATTTTGTCACGGTGACTGATGTTTGTGCCAGGAATTACTCCAGATGCTGATGATATTTTTCTCCTTCCTTTTTGATGTCTATGAACCTCCTTTCATTTCAGTGTAAATTCATAGAATCACAGACTGGTGTGGGTTGGAAGGGACCTTAGAGATCACCCAGTTCCACCCCCTGCCATGGGCAGGGACACCTCCCACTAGCCCAGGTTGCTCAAATCCTCATCCCGCCTGACACACAAGGAGACACAGCAAAATCATCACCCCGGTCCATCTCCCTGAGCTGATAAACATTGCCACAGGGAAAACATAATGCATGTAAGACTTTACATAGCACTACCACTTGAACAAATGGACCAGCACCATGACCAGTAAGTTTTTAACTCATACAAGAAATGAGTATAACAAACTTTTAGAGCACGTGCTGGTCAGATTTGTGGTTATCTCAACCCTTCTTGCCCTACGTTGGGCGCCAAAAAGATTGTCGTGAGTAAGGACCAAGCAGGAACTGCGCGCCACCGCTTGCCACCTGGCTGCTCCCTTCTCCTCACCTTTCCTCCTCCCGGTAAGATGGGGAAAGAATAAAAAAAAAAAAAGATGGAACCTCGTGAGTTGAGGTAGCGACAGATTTTAATAATGCAACACAAGAAAAAGGGAATATAATAACAAAAGAAGATATAGAATGACACACAATGCAAAAGCCTCACCACACCAAGACGCCTGCACCAAAGACCACCACCCCTCTCCTGGCTAGCTTCCCTTTATATCCCGGGCATGACGTCGGCATGGTATGGAATATCCCCTTGGATATGCCCACCAGCCAGCTTCTGTGAAAATTAACCCTGTCCCAGCTGAATCCAGGACGGGTCAGAAACAACAAAAGCAGCTCTGGGGTCACCAAAGCACTCTCTGGAAGGCGTGAAACTGGGAGTAATGTAATGTAGAGCAATTCTTTCATTATGAGGAATACAAAGATTGTGTTTTAATATAGGGATGAAGAACACGGGACCCTCACCGTGCCCCCCACCTTGGCAGAGTGGGAGGTACACGGGGTGGTCCCAAAACAGGGCACGCGGGACCGTTTTGAAGTCCCTGTTTGGGAGCCTGTGAGCATCAGCAGAGGAGGGACAGGCAGGGGCAGGACGTCTGTGGGAGAGCAAACGCTTGGTGCTCCCCACCCTCGCCAGCGGTGAGGCCATTCTGGTGTTCCCAAGGGAAGAGAAATCCCTGATGGGTGCAAAGGAAGAGGGGGTCAGACTAGCGTTGAATCTGTCTCTCTTGGCCAATTTTAACCCCAGGACACCTCATACCACCCGCTCATGTCTGTGGCGCACACCCAGTCACCATGAGGCTAAAAGGACAGAAAATCAGTTTTCTTCTCCAAACCAGGCAGGGGCAAAAAGCCTGGAGGAGGAGAGGGTGGGCGCCACTGACCGACACACCCCGTCAATGGTCCACCAGGAGGCACAAATGGGATGGGGGAAGATTGCATGTGTCACAGAAGGGGCTGGAGGGGTGGTTTGGGGTGAAAAACCAAGGGCTGAAAGGCAGACCTCAGTGTCAGCACAAACCCCAGAGACCCGAGTTTGGAGGACAAGACCCCAACCCAAAGAGCCCCACAATGCACCTGAGCAATGCTCCAGGGAAGGATTTCTCTGCAGGGACCATGACCAGGCAGGGAAGTGGCAATGGGAGCCCAGGGAGGTTGGATGTTGGATGAGGAGCCTGGGGACATCCCAGGTTACCCGGATCTCCCTGCCCAGGACCTTCCCCCAGCATCACCCATCTCCCCATGGAGATCTTTGTGCCGTTTGCTGTGTTTTAACCTGAATTGCCACAAACTCGTACTGTGCACTTATGATGCCATAAAATTACTGTATTATGCACCTCTTGTACAACTTAGATTTAGCTGAAATTAATATAACCCTAAATTTGCTGTATTGCAGAATGATGCCCCCACTGAGTGGTGCCCCCGTGGCACGATATCCCCTCGGCAGCGCTGTCCTTTGCAGCAGCCTCGGTCCCCAGGTGCCACCCAGGCATTGCCAGCATTTTGCACAATTCAGCGCCACGTTCCAGGTCACTGAGGCTCTGAGCAGCAGCATCCAAGTCCGTTTGTAGCCCCGTTAATAAAACAGCGGGGTTTTGTTTCCCGGGCCACGCTGGGTGCCCTGTGCCAGGGGAGGGGACGGCGCAGCTGCTCTCCTGCCCGTGGACCCGGCGTGTGGCAGGACGGCTTCTGCTGTGATCGTATAGTGGTCAGTACTCTGCGTTGTGGCCGCAGCAACCTCGGTTCGAATCCGAGTCACAGCAACAGTTTTGGCAGTCGCCTGTTGCATGAAAATACCAGGTTGAAGATGCAGGGGAGGCAGCTGCAAGGAGGCTGGTTTGCAAAAATGCTGTGACCCAAGAGGTAGCCGAAGCTCTGATGGGCTCTCTGCTCCCAGCTCATGCCTACAATGATTTTCCAGCCTGTAGTCACTGCTCAAGATCTCCATTTTCCAGGCAAAGCTTGAGAATTTAGAGGAAATCACCCAGATTTCCACCTTTCCCTCACTGGTTCTGCAAAAAGGGGATGAGAAGACGCTGCTGCCACCCTGCAGAGCCGAAGGAAGCGGGAGGCAGCAGTTTGCTGACCCAGGGCTCCACTCCCCTCTCCTGCCCTCCGGGGTAGGAAGGATGCGCCACGGCCACCACCTGAAGAAGAAGGAAGATCAACCTGATGAGAACCCCACTGCTGGTGCTCCAGTCTCCTGGCGTTGTAAAGCCCACCCAGTGCCACCCCCTGCCATGGGCAGGGACACCCCGCACTAGCCCAGGCTGCTCAAAGCCTCATCCAGCCTGGCCTTGAACCCCTCCAGGGACAGGGCATCCACAGCTTCTCTGGGCAACCTCTTCCAGTGCTCCCATGGCAGAAGCCAAACCCACCAGTGCTGAGGGGTGACCCTAACACACTGCGGGGCTGGAACCAGAGCTCTGATGGGCACCCAGAGGCTGGTGGAGATCTCTGGGGTGCCTCAGGAGGTGCCTCAGCTTGAGGAAGCCTTTTGAACTGTTGGCTTTGCTCTTCAGGAGCCTTCAGCCCGTGGACACGCCGTGTTTGCTGGGTCCTGGTGCCCTCTCCTGACAGCTGTGCAGAACTCACACTGGGCAGGAGCTTCCAAAAGAGAACTTACACCAAGCTGCGCAAGGTATGGCACAGGTCTCACCTGGGGCTCAGCTGGTGAAGAGGACACCACCCAAGCAGCGGGTCTCCATTTATCCACCACTCTGGGGGCAACTGAAAGCAGCAGAGGGCTGCCAGCACCCAGGCAGACTGGCTCAGGTGTCTGTGGGGCTCGTGCATGGGAAGGGGAGAGGGAGGAAGGTGCTTTTGTTGCACAAAATAATTTTTCTTCCATACCCGAGCTATAGCAAGAAGTGGGAGAGCAAAATTCATCATGCATTTACTTTTAGGAGTTGCAGTCTGTACGGTGCTGCTTGCACAACTTCTCACTCCTCCCATCTTCATTTGCTCTTTTTCTGAAAGTTCCAGTTTCTTTACTCAGAGAAAGCTCAAAAAGCATTTCCCCTTCTAAAGTTAATACAGAAGAGAAGAAAAACACCTAGAGAAGTTGGCCTTGAGCAGCAGCAGTACCTGTCCCACTTTTACACAGCTGAGAAGCAGAAACACAAGGAAATACATAATTTCTCCAACCCTCTTCCTGACCGCCCTCCCCCCAAAAGCCAGTTTGGGTTATGAGGCCATGAAGCTTATCTGCAGAGTAACGTGCCATGCCTGAGCAACTGACCTATGTTCAGGTTGAAAAATGTCAAAATCCCAAAGGGGATATTTTTCATCCAAAAATTACTTGGTTTTTCTGTTAAAAGATTTTCTATTTTGCAAAAAATACCCTGAAGTGT